GGCACCACTTAATGCAAAGAATGCCACTGTCTCCCACACACCGCTGGTGCCCAAGGACTGTCGAGGCCTGTCTGTGTTAGTGGTTTGGGAAGGGCTTAAGTTTGGAGAGAAGGCTCCCTTCTGCTCCATGTGATTGGTTGTCACCAGGGCAAAGGGGGAAAAATAGAACGAGTAGAAAAGGCAGCATCAGATGTGTCATCAAAAATTCTTTCTACAACTGGACACCTCGTTCATTGGTGTTTTTGTCAACATTGAAAATTAATTTCTCCTTTCTTTTGAAATAATGTGTGTCTTGGGTTCGCCACTTTTAGACCTTTCTGCTTTTCTGTCCTCTTTTCTTTCTTTCTAAGCAATACTGATTTCTTTTGATGGAAAGTGATTCAGCTAAGTGAAAAACTGGGGTTGGATTGTAGTAGAGGAATCTCCAAATTTGCCCAGATCCTTAAGAGTGGACTTGGTTCTCCAGACTTATACACTGCGCTACAGTGGACTTCAAAACCAAAGCACATTACTTGTTCAGATATAGAATTGAAAGATGAAATCTAATGAGAATTTATATGTAAACTTTAGGAGGATCATGCTCTGTTAATTTCTGTTTTGCTTGGTAACTTCACCCTATGTGATTGATACTTTCTGTATTCTTTTTTAGTTCTGTCATGTTTTGCTTTATCAAAAACTGTATGATGTGCACTTTCATCGTGGACTTTTCAAGGAATAACTTGCCAAATTTGGTCATTCCTAGCAATTGCCATTTCCTAAGATTTCTTAAAATGCAATTTAGTTAAAGAGTAATTATTATTATTATTATTATTATTATTTTTTGAGTTGGAGTCTCACTCTGTCGCCCATACTGGAGTGCAGCGGCCACTCCCGGCCACCGCAGCCTTGACCTGCTGGGCTCCGGTGATCCTTCCGAGTAGCTGGAATTACAGGCACGAGCTACCATGCCCAGCTGATTTTTTTATTTATTGTAGAGATGAGGTCTCGCCAAGTTGCCCAGGCGGGTCTCGAACCCGCGGGCTCAGGCAATCCACTCACCTCAGCCTCCCAAAGCACGGGATTACAGGCTGAACCACCGAACCCAGCTAAGAGTAATTATTGACGTTGGAATTAAAGGAATCGTTGATTTTTGAATTGTTGTAAAAATCAATATTTTATTTTAGAAAATTCTTTAGCCTTTTGATGGTAATTAATCCTGTTGCCTGAAGTAGATGATAGAGACTTTAAAGCTTCTTGGGAAAGGCTTTCACATTCTCTATATCTAAATATTTTAAAGGGGAAATGGACTGAATCACAGACATTTTATAGAAAGGAATAGGAAATCCTTGAATTGTTTTTTTTTTAAATCTCTCCTTGTAAAATTTACCTTCTAAAACTCTGATTGCAAAATCTTCATCAACTGTGATGATTCATGCATTTGAGTAATAAAGCTTTTTCAGTATTAAAATTTCCGTGGAAAATTCACTCAATGCATTATAAAAGGAGTACTTACACTTCCTAGTACATATATGTAGTTTTTTTTTTCTTTTTAAAGTAATCTTGTGTGCCTTTTGAGAAAAGTTTCAGTGTTCACACAGATGCCTGACTAGTTAGTAGCTATCATAATAGTTTTCAGAAACAAACTTCGACTAACACCTGAATAAGTAATGGGCAAAACAGATGGTTATTTTGTAGCTCAGAATACACCTAAACTAGCACCTTTTGCCAAAGAAACATTGAAAGGACAAAGCAAAGTAAAACTTTGCTTTTTAAAATTTTTTTCAAGTTAAGTAAAGAAAGAAAGATGGAAAGCCTTTTATAATGTAGCATTTGCCAACCCAGCAATCTGACAACTGTTGGATGCATATTTCAATCACAGTTAGATGAAATCTTTAATTATCATTTAATTTAACTTTCATATTTGCCTGCAGAAATGATCATGTTGATAAGATTCTGGATGAGAAAAACCTTTATTAAGTAATTCCATCTTCCATGCCAGTGTTAAAGATTTTTTTTTTAGTTAAAAAAAAAAAATGCCCGTGTAATTTATGAGGGAGGGGGAAGAGGAATTGGCATGATAGTTGAATGGATATGTGTGTATTTAATATTTATCCCTTGTCTTTTTGAGTTTTGGGGTGTGCTGAGACCTGTTAGTTTGAGAGGGCTGAGAGACACTATGGTGAATCCTAATTAATAGCATTCATCTACACCATTTTACTACCTTTATATTGCCTATCTCTTACATATGCTGATAGGATGATGTTTCACTTTGTTCCTTGTAGAAGGTATTTGTGGAAGAAGATACCTTGTGAGCTGATGATCTATTGAGGCAAAGGGGAATGGTTTGTAATTTAGCAGAGAAAATGAAATGGTGATCTCTTTTATTTTATGGAACTTCTTTTTTTTAATTAAAAAGACTATGAAACTTTTAAGACATTTATATTTTAAGTGCTTTTGAGACACGTTTACATTTGAGCATTTAGAGACCTGGGCGATGTCACTGCTGAGTTTTTTCAGAGCTTCACTCACATGTACTTTCTTATCAAAATCATATGTCCTAAAATTTATTATTAACCCCAAACAGACGACTAGTCCATTCGTGGATATTCTGATTCTGGGGACTTAGGGTAGTACCTGGGAAGCAGTACTCCTGGCAAGTTCTCCAGGTGATGCTTAGGTTTGGGCGTGTATGGGAGACTCTGGAGAGATGAAATCCCACCCAGCTCTCTGCACAGGGACTGTCTGAAAAGTCAACAGCACATCAGTTCTGCCTTTGTGAAGTCCAAGATGTGTTAAAGTGATATTACAGAAGAACAGAGTCACCCAAGAAACTTGAGTGGTAAACTTTTCAGGGCCTTGAGTTCTTATGTTGATTAACCCCATGTCAGGATGCCCTGTCCTCTGGGACAGCTTTGTAGTGGGGTCTCTGTAACACAAAGCTGACCTGGGACTCTTTCATTGGCTAATGACAAAATTTGTCCTCGTTCAGACAAATAGGACCGTGCTCTTCAATACTGTGGGTACTGGCCACATACGGCTGTTTCAGTTTAAATCTCTTAGAATAAAAAGATAAGAAATACAGTTTCTCAGTTGCAATGGCTACTCAGTAGCCATGATGGTTCCTAGCTGCTTTATTGGAGAGCACAGCTACAGAACAATCCCATCATCACAGGAAGTTCTACTAGATAGTGCTGCTGTTGGATTTTCCTTCATGGTTTCGCTTTCCTTTTTTTTATCCTAGCTAATAGAGTTAGATGGCAAGATCATGTGTCCATCTAGTACATACCGCATATTACAACCTGAATGAGTCTTTGCAAAGTGGCTTAAGTCATACTTAGTACTCTGAGATAAAAATTTATTGACATTACATTTGTACCATTAAGATGTTGTTCTATGTTGACTTTTAGCACTTGAAAAATGAGACTAATTAGAAATTTGTTTCACATAGTATATAGCTTATAATGAAGAACTATATACCACTAAAATATCACTGAATAAGATTGCAAATATTTACCCTTTCTTAGATTGTATAAACTATTCCTAGAGTAAGAGTGCAAGTGATGAGGCTAATAAACAGGTTGCACCTATAGGTAGTTCCATAAAGACTGTCATTTACCTATATTTTGCAGTTTTAGAAATTTGAGATGAATATATTTGGCTCCCTCTTCTGGCATATTTTGAGAAAAATATTTTTACTTAAAATGATTTTTTTTTTTTAATGAGAATATGATTATCAGCGTAACGTTGAAGAAAATTATTTGTGAATGTCAATTATTTTATTTTATTTTTTTTGGTATCATTGCAATTGGTAGAACATTGTTAGAGACCCCCAGTCCACGAACCTGGTAGGAACCAGGCCACTTAGCAGGAGAGCAGTGGATGAGCAAGCAAAGCTTCATCTGTATTTACAGCCACTCCTCATGGCTTGCATGGCCACCTGAGCTCCATCTCCTATCAGATCAGTGGCTGCACTAGGTTCTCATAAGGGTGCAAACCTTGTTGTGAACTGCGTATGCCACAGATCTAGGTTGCACGCTCCTTATGAGAATCTAATGCCTGATGATCTGAGGTGGAGCTGAGGCTGTGATGCTAGCACTGGGGAATGACTACAAAACAGACTAACATTAGCAGTGAGGTTTGACTGCACATCCCTGGTTCGTGCAAAAATTGTCTTCCACGAATCCGGTCCCTGAGGCCAAAAAGGTTGGGGACCGCTGAACTAAAGCATGGAAAAATTTATGAAAGCACCACGTTTCTTAAACTACTAACTGACCAAAAAATATATATAATAAAAGTTTTGACAGCAGTTCCACAGAGACTTAATTTGACATCAAGTGGGCAGTGATCATCTATTTGCGTTTTTTTTGTTTTTTGGCATTTTAAGAGGTTTAGCAGCAGGCAGTGATCATTTGTATTGGCTTCTGGATCTAACACTCGGCCCACCCCTGGCATTTGTGGGTTTTGAAACCAGAAGCAGGCTCCAGTACCCCACGTCTAAATATTTTAGTTATAAGTCATATTAACAAATTGTTCAATAAAATTTCTTCTCTCCTCCTACCTGGAAAATTATTTTTTCCCAATGACCAGGAAACCAGATTTGCATTTAGATTTCTCAGAGTTCTGCCCCAGAACATGGTGATAGGGGGACAGCTGGATCCTGGCTTCTCCCTACACGTGCAAACTCTAGTCTGTCCCAAGCCCCTCCCACCCAGCCCTAGACCATGCCTGGGCCCAGGGGTGCACCTGGGCAGGGAGGTTTGCCCTGGGGAGGGTGGACTTAGGGAAGAGGCCAGAGGAAGCCATTTGGCAGGGGGTTCGGAATTCTGGGTAGGTTCTGAGTGTGTCATAGGGAGAAGCAGGCATATCCTCATTGCTTGAGAGTATGGAGCCCGAGACAGGGGTCTCTCTTGCTCAGATGATCAGAAGTAATGAAATTGTTTTGTGTGTAAACATTCTTCATCGTGGTCCAATACATTGTACTACCTCAAATTAAGTATAACGCTGTGTTCGTTTGCAGCTTTGCCGCTCCCAGATCTTGCAGAGCAGTTTGTCCCTCCTGATGTCGCCCCGCCTCTGCTTATCAAGCTCGTGGAAGCCATTGAAAAGAAAGGTACTTTGACTGCTCAAGGGAGTCATGTAATTTGTTGTGTACCCTAAATTCATGGCTTTTGTTATTTACATTTGTCTCTGGGAATCCATTAAATTTATTCTTCATTTTTTTTAAAGAAAAACGGAGATGAAGTCTCAATATGTTGCCCAGGCTGGTCTCAAACTCCTGGGGCTCCAGTGATCCTCCTGCCTTGGCCTCCCAAAGTGCTGGGATTACAGGCAGGAACCACTGCGCCTGGCCTGAATTTATTCTTACTACCTGCTATGTGCAGGTACACAAGCTGTTTAGGGTTGGGTACTGGGGAAAAAAATCTTGGTCTGTGATTTCTAACTCCTGATTAATATGGAGTTACTCTCCGGAAGCTATTAAGTTCTTCATAATTTAACAAATATGATTAACTTGCTTCTTTAGTGTCCAGATGGTTTTGCCAAAATTATTGACATGCCAGTTAAGATTAATAGTAGGAGTTGACTTCCAAGAATATTTGGTACACATCTAGAACAGCTACTGGATGGAAACTGGAATGTCTCTCTGGCAACAGGCTCACAGGTCCTCCAGAGAGCTGCATTTTGCATACACGGTCTGTCTTGTGTCCTAGGTCTGGAATGTTCAACCCTATACAGAACACAGAGCTCCAGCAGCCTAGCAGAATTACGACAGCTTCTTGATTGCGGTGAGTGTCACGGAGCTAGAGATACAAATGGGGAAGATGGATGTTAACTTTCCGTTTCAGGTAATGCACATACAGAAAACTGAATTTAATCCACGCAACACTGTAAGTTCACAAGGAACTTGGAAATCATATGCAGTTCCCCCTGCCCTGTTATAGTAACAGGGCAAACAAGTGCAGAACCTCTGATGTTTGTCTCCTGAGTGTGGGGTGTGAGCGTGAGCATGCCTGCCTGATGGCACATTAGTTGCCACCACAGCCGTGAGGCCCTGGGTCCTGCAAGAACTGCAGAGGAGAGAAACAGCCTCTTGGTGTTTCTCTGGCTCTGTGTATCTGCCATCTTCCCTTGGCTCTGAAGCTGACGACATCTGTTTCATCTGGTTCAGTTGAGAAACGTGTATAAGCCTGTGTCATTGGGGAAATGTCTTCTGACATCCATTTTCCTTTCCTCTTGCCCTCTCTTTCCCTTTTCCTTTCCCTCTGCTTTTTTTTTTCTTTTCCTTTTGTTCTGGCTTGCTTGTTTGCTTGTGTCCTTCTTTATTCCTTGCCTTTTTTGTGTCATAGATACATTAAGTAACGTCATGATTGTGTTTTACTTAGTGGTGTTCTGATGAATCAATTCTCTAGGAAGAAAAAGCCCCTGGTTTGGAGCATTTGCCCATTTTTGTGGTGCGAATGTTCCCACTGTGGTTGATTTCGTGCTAGCCAACATGATGCCACTGAATGGAGGGTTGGGAAGAATTGAAAACAGTTGGCTCTTGTGACCTGGTACAAGCCACCTCCAGCACACCATTGGTTAAATGACACGAATTAGTTCAGTCAAGAAGTGGCTTTGCTGTTTATTCCTCCCTCCCTGCTGCCCACCTTTGGCATACAGGAATAACTGTATTAATGATTTACTTACCATCATTCCAACAAGTCACCTTTTCATACCAGTTCTAGACTCTCTCTGATCCTTTAAAATAGTTTTCTGCCTCACATTATTTTAACTGAATTTGGACGTTTGCACCAAGAAGAATGAAAGCCAGTTTTAGAAGAATCTTCTTCCGAAGTATAATTGCACGAGGAGTGCCCACGTGACATTCAGTAGATGAGAATTTGAAGAGTGAGGCACTGCTGAGTGAGGCAACTGAGGAAAATTTCTAGATAAGATGTTTCTCGGAGAAAAGGAGACTAGATTTTTATCAGTAAATACTTTCACTTGAAATGCACAGACTAAATGTTTTGAAACTTAAAAAAAATTTTTTTAACTTCATTTTTTCATTGTGCTTGGAAACTAGTCATACACATACAGGGCATGTCCTCTTTGCCTCTTTGTCTCCTTTGCCTCTCACAAGTAGGTCATTAGGAGCTGTCTGGCAGAAAACTCAAGGTGAAAAGCCTTGTTTTTCTGTATGGCTAACAGCTTTACCAGGGTGTTAAGGAAACACTGAATTTTGTCCTTAGCCAATGGAAATGGCGATACATGTTTTGGTTAGAAAATTGGTTAGGATGAACAGGCTTAAAAGTCACAGGAAATGTTCAGACATCAGAGACCGATGAAGTGGAAGTTATTTGAGAAACAGTGGTTAGGTTTTTAATGTGACCAATACAAAGTGATGCAGTTTGGCTAAAAACATTATTCACACCACTCACGAGATGAAGTCAACAACCAAGATTCACGTCAGCAACTCATTTGACAGACGGCTTTCCTTCTCCATTGAGGGCAAAACACACACACAGAAAACTGGCTTCATTTGTGTTCTGTGCTAAAAAAGAGAATTTCGTGGCCAAACAAACAAGCAAGTAAATATTGTCCCAACCTTGGAGTGGATCTGCCAGGTCTGTTTTCAGCTCAAAGATTCTTCAGGACATAAAAATACTGTAACATCCCGGAGGAAGCTCTGAAGTGAGTTACTTACACCTGAAAAAAATCATGGCTTTTAACTAACCTTGTAAGTTGCCAGAGTTTGAAAAGGACAGCCCACTTTTATTAGCATCTGCTAAGTTATTTTATTTCATCTACACGTTGACCTTACAATAAAAGTATTGCGACTTTAACTCACCAAAAAAGGAAGTTGACCCTCTCACATTTTTCAGTAGTTGAGTGGCAAAGCTGTGACCTGTATCCAAACTGTTCGGACTCCAGAAATCCTTCTTTTTTTTCCCCTCCTAAAATGAACTGTTTCTTTCTTGTTTCATGTGAGGTTTGTTTTTTTTTTGAGTCGGAGTTTCACTCTTGTCGCCCAGACTGGAGTGCAGTGGCCGCTCCCGGCCACCGCAGCCTCGACCTGCTGGGCTCCGGCGATCCTTCCGCCTCAGCCTTCCGAGTAGCTGGAACTACAGGTGGCGCACACTATCACACCTGGCTAATTTTTTGATTTATTGTAGAGATGAGGTCTCGCCAGTTGCCCAGGCGTGTCTCAAACCCGCGGGCTCAGGCAATCCACTCACCTCAGCCTCTCAAGGCATGGGATTACAGGCTGAGCCACCAAGCCCGGCTCATATGAGTTTTAATCATACAAATTTTCTCCTGACATTTTTTGGTTACTCTTAACATGAATAAGGCTTTCTCAGCGTCAGCACTACTGACATTTTAGGCGGGATTGTTCTTTGTTGGGAGAGTGGGAGTCTGCTCTGTGCATTGTGGGATGTTTGGCTATATCCCTGGCCTCTACCCACTAGCACCTGTAGCTTCCTCCCCTGGTTGTGACTTATGTCTCCAGACTTTGCCAGATATCTCCTGGGGTCCCACAACCACTGAGGGCCACTAACTTAGGTAGGGATCAGATAAGGAGAGGACTCCATTCCAGTGGGAGGGAGCAGTAAAGTGTTGGAGAGTTTACTGGTTGCCTGTCATGAGTAGACCCAATAAAAAGCGCGAGAGAGAATGCAGACCTCCCCAACCCAGACCTAAAGATTATGAGGCTCTTCAGAAGTCATCACATGACAGATGATTGTTATAGCCATAGGAGGAGCATGTTAGGTTACTTTTATTATAATGCAGACAGGTGAGATGTCAGAAACTCTTGGAAACTTTAAAAGTCACATCGCACAAATAAATAAAACATACGCGGTCATCATCTGTAGTGGAATTTGACATAAGATAAACTTATTCCAACCCTGCATAAGGTAGCCATTGTATGGTTAAGAACTGGCCAAGCCACATGTTCTTTGAGCTATAGCAGCCATGATTTCCTAAGCTTTGGCCACCTTCCCTACGCTTGGGGAGGTGAATCTCCTCTCTCTTTCTCTAATTTACTTTCTAAATATACTATATTTTCCAGTCTTAAAAAAAAAAAATCCCTGTATAAGGTAATTTAACTCAAACACTATAAAGGCTCTTTGGAATACACGAAATATATTAGAAAAGGGCTTTGGTGAATTAACCTCATTCCAAGGGCTTTCTAGTTCAATCCACAAACACTGAACACATTCTGTATGCTGGACAGTGAGGAATGCACGAAGGGCAGATGATAGCCACAGTCCCTGCTCTTGGGGCACCCCCGTCTCATAGGGAGAGACACGTAATCTCCATCGTGACCATGCTCTGGGCGGTGTCTTGCTGGAGGGATGACTTATCTGCACTGTAAGAGCACGGAGGGAAGCCCTGCCTGAGAGAGGGACGTGTGAGTATCTAGTGTCTTAGCGTTTATACTGTATCACCAAATGACTCATCCTGTGTTTTAGGATGTGCAAATGGAGTAATATTAATTTGCTGGGTGAAAAGACACGAAATGAAGCATATATGGCAAAGGATATGGGGGAGCAGAAGCTTGCCAAATAGTCGGCAACTGTGGAGTGTTTCTGTAGTGGGGCACACATGATTTTATTTGCCAGTATGTAATTACACTCGTAATTGCGTTGCCCTCAATGTAGATCCTTTATGCAGAGACCTAGTATCGCCCTTCCTGTACTTGTTAGAGTTGTGATATGTCTGTGGTTTGTTCTTTATAGGACATTTAAGTGATATAATTCTTTGCCTCTTCACATGTCTTTTTCTTTTTTTCTTAAGGTGGGGTATGGCACTGTCTTCCAGGTTGGAGTACAGTGGCATAGTCTCAGTTTAGCACATCTATAACCTACTGGGCTCAGGTGATCCTTCCACCTCAGCCTCCTGATTAGCTGGGACTAAAGGCGCATACAGCCATATCCGGATACTTTTTTTATTTTTGTTTTTTTGTAGAGACAAGGTCTTACTATGCTGTCCAGGCTGGTCTCAAATTCCTGGGCTCAAGCAATCCTCCCTGAGTGCTGGGATTATAGGCGTTAGCCACTTGCCTGGCCAACCTTTTAAGTGTAATGATAATTTTTTTCCTCAAATTAACCTATCCATGTTTTATTCCACACTGACTTGTCTTAGAGTGGTATGGCTGTGTGATAAGCTTTCATACCATCTGCCTAGTTAGTAGGGCAAGTTGGTTTATAATAATGATATGTCCAAGGAATTTTTGCAGTCTTGGGCTCAAACTAGAGTGATTTATACTGTCATACTTAGCTCATGGATATCTAGGATCCCACCTTCTCCCACCTATTTTTGCTCAAACTTTGATACCCTCATTCCCTCCTAGGCCACAGTCCAATCTAGGCAATCACCATGTTATGTGAAGTCTTGTTAAAATCTTGCACACTTCCAGCTACATTGGAAGTCAGACCCTATCACTTTGATTTAAATGACCAAAACTGGCATTTTTGTTTCCAGCAGCACTTCCTTTCAATTTCCTCTTAGCGGTATTAACGAAGCTGTATAAAAACATAGCATCTTACCCATCAACCCACTTTTTCTCTGCTGAGTACATGAATCCACAGGTCACCTTCCTCAGTTTATCCTTTTCGTTGCTAATGTGCATCCTTCAGCGGCAGCCAAATGCCTCTCCTCTTTTCTAGGTGCCCGTGGTCACTCCTGCTCCCAGACCTTGTGTTCTCAACATCCCTTCTTTCTCCTGGGGCTTGTGCCTTTTTCTATCCTAAGTACTCAGAGCACCATACATAGTGAGTGCTCAGAGCATAGCTTTGATTAGTACCACCCCGTTAGTAAATGGACAGACCACTTTTCCAGCTGAGGGATTTACTGGATAGATATGTGCATCTTTCTTCTGAGATAGTCTGATACCCACAGGTTCGGGTAGTACTCATCAGAATTCGGGAGAAACATTCTGAAAATGAGGTGGTTTGCTAAAATGCTACCATATCTTACGGTTTGTAATCAATCACCCTGCTAGTTAAACTTCTATGAGTTCTTTGATCCGGTATTTATCAACTTAAGTTTTAGGACATCTGGGAACATGCATTCCTCATTGTTGTGGCTTTAGGGAACATTCATTATGTGACTAACCATTCCTAAGTTGAACCGTTCTCAGTCAGGGCAGAACTGCCCTTCAGGGGGGTGTTTGGAAATGTTTGGGGTCCTATATTAGTTTGCTCAGGCCGCCCTAACTAACTATCACAGACTTGAGTGGCTTAAAAAACAAAAATCTAGTTCTCATCGTTCTGGAGGCTAGAAGTCTAAGATCAAGGTATAGGCATGCTTGGTTTCCTGCAAGGTCTCCTTGGCTTGCAGATGGCCACCTGCCCGCTGTGTCCTCCCATGGCCTTTCCTCTGTGTGCACGTGGGGCTGGTGTCTCTGCTTGTGTCCTCATTTCCTCTTGGAAGGATATCGGTTCAATTGGATTAGAATCCACTCTAATGGTCTCATTTTAACTTAATCACCTCCTTCGATCACCATTTCCAAGTGTCATCATTTCTGGGGTCTGAACTTCACAATTAAGCCCATTAACAGGGACATTATATTTTGTTGCCCCAAAATTGGAAGCTGCTACTGCCATCACCGGTAGGGGCCCAGTACACAAAGAAAACTGGTCCTACCGCAGATGTCAGGAGCAACCACAGTGAGAAACACTGCCAATAAATCCTTTGTATCTTATATTTGTCCTCTTACTGCTTCCTTTCCTTAGTTACTCTTAAGTCAAACATTCAGAAATTTAGCTAAGCTGATGTCTACAATACATGTCTGAAATACTTCTTAAAATGTTTTCTTCCTAGATGTGGCCTCTGTGGACCTGGAAATGATTGATGTGCACGTTTTAGCAGACACTTTCAAACGCTATCTCCTGGACTTACCAAATCCTGTCATTCCAGTAGCCGTTTACAATGAGATGATTTCTTTAGCCCAAGGTTTGTTTTTGTTCCTTCTGAGAACCACATTGAATATATACATACTGATGTGAAACATAAATGTACTTGTAAACTCTATTAAGCACTGCATAGATAGAGATAGTAGTTGGAAAATAGTAGTAGTAACCTGACTCTCCCTTCCCTGTGCCACAAAATTTCCCTCCTCTACCAGGATACCCAGTAGAAGACCCCGATTCTCGTGTGCTTAGAAAGACGGTCCACATGTTGGAATGGCTAGTTGTTAATGTTAACCTTCCCTCACTATTTACAAAGTTCACTCCATCAGTGAAGGACACAGTGTTCCGAGTCCCGGTGTCAGACTCAGGGAACTGGGAGTAGGACCCAGTTCCTGGTGATGTTCTTGCCATCTTCCCTGAGTGGCCGTGGCAGAATGTGTTGAGGGAAGAGGACTTTAGCAACAAAGGCTCAGTTAAGCGCTTTGGGGACAGGAAATTGTGGTTCTAATCTTCAAAGTTAAAACCTGTGATACTTATCTGATGCTCCTCCGAGTTAGCCAATCACACTTGAAGCTGCTCAAAACAGGGCAGGTTTCTACCAGCACACCCTGAACAGCTTGTGGTTTTTTTACACGAAGAGTTTCTTGCATTTCCATTTGACTTGAACTTTCTACTTTCTCATAATGTATTTTCTAATGAGAAGAACACATGTCCCGTGTGCTTCTCCTGAGAACTTTTTAAACTATTTTTTCTGTAGCTAGAAGAAAGAACTGAAATTTTCTAGGTGTTTAGGTGTCTTTTATTCTTTTTTCTTTATTATTATTTTTTTAACTTGTAGAAATACAAAGCTCCGAAGAATACATCCAGCTGTTGAAGAAGCTTATTCGGTCGCCTAACATACCTCATCAGTATTGGCTTACGCTTCAATATTTGTTAAAACATTTCTTCAAGCTCTCTCAAACCTCCAGCAAAAATCTCCTGAGTGAAAGACTGCTCTCTGAAATTTTTAGCCCCATGCTCTTCAGATTCCCTGCCGCCAGGTAAGTGTAGAAGGGAAACAGGCATTATGGGGTGATGAGGGTGGTCCTCCATTGACTGGTATTCCAAAGATATGTATTCCAAGTACACATGATATGTATTCTAGAGATACTACTTCACAGATGCACATGCAGATTTTTATCACACACATTCACTTGAATGAGTACAAAGGAAAGCGAGTTTGTTTTTAGGGAAGAGGTTTCTAATGAAACTCTCTCTCTCTCTCTTGCAGCTCTGATAATACTGAACACCTCATTAAAGTTATAGAAATTTTAATCTCAACTGAATGGAATGAACGACAGCCTGCACCAGGTAATGCTTTGTGAATGCTTAGCATTCTCTCATTGTTCATTTTTTAGAGCCTTAAAAGTGGTGCTTTAGACCTCCTCTGAGGTCATATAAGTTTCTTGTGGAATTATGATCCAGAGTCATACATTACCTTGTGATTTAATTAAAGAAAAAAATAGCTGAGTGGTAGCGTATACAGTAAATATCTGGATTTTGGCATATGCGGATTTTAAATTATCTTGATTTTAGGTGAGAGTTGGGGAGTTCCCTGTATCCTTCAGCATTTATGCTTCTAGTTGTTGAATAAATTTATGGAGTTCATTTTAGTTGTTGACATTTTTGTTTGTCTTTCTAATACTTATAAAGTAGGGGATTTATAATTACTATATAATTTAAAGTATTTTGGAATGTGTGTTTTGGAAGTGGGTATGCTGAGAAATGTCTGTCAAAATAAACATTTTCAATAATGCAAGCAGTATGAAACCAGAGCGTTCACTGCAGCAAGTTAGAGCAAGCCAGACACTTATTTGAAAGCAGGCTGCCGTTCAATTAGCCATCTAACAAAGCAGGAAATGTAGACCATGTCAGCAGTGGATTTAATTTAAACTTACGGTTTTTTCTTCTACTGTGGAAAGTCTAAACCACCTGACTTTTACTATAGACTGGCTAAAAGTTAGCTAAAAAAGTCTGGTCATCTAGAACAGCATTAGGGTCCTATAGGTGAGGTGAAGTTTCAGGACCAGAAGAAAGTAGTCTTCATTTATGCCTAGAATTTAAATGAAACACTGTGACTATATTATTTATTACAGGTAACGAATGCAGATTACCATGTTTATCTCTGTATGGACAGACATGGGGACCCAGCTTCAGCTTTATGCATTGGAGAATTCAGTTGTGTCTTTTTATTGGGTCTTGTGTTGTCGGGCATGGTTATTTATATCTGGATATATGAGGGCAGCCTGAGTGGGGCGAGGACCTAGGGTTAGAGCCCACCTGCAGGGATGGGGTAGAGGATGGCATAGGTAACCATTCAAGATGCAGGTATTGGGAAGAGTTTCTGTAGACAGGCCCAAAATACGGTGCCAAAGGTGAGAGAGCCATCAGATACAGCAGTTGAACAAGTGTAGGGTGTTCTAAATGACAGCAAGTAGAATGTTTGACAGGGGTTCCTGGAATTATAGGTGAACTCCATCAGAGAAGATGCCTAGGACCTTAGTCCAGGGGATAATCAAAAGGTTTCCTCCTGTGTGACTACATGCATCATTTGGGAATAGATGTGGAACCCTGCGCTGGTGTTCTGAGGCTCCTTTGGGCTTATTAGGAAAGAACAGGGGTGAGGGTTTGGAATGTGGCACCTGAGCCACGACTGATAACCCGTCTCTAGAGTGATCGCCCCTGTGGGGAAGGGAGGAGAGTGGCAAGAATAAGCAGGACCCCGGGCAAAGGGCTGAGCTGGCATCTTTCACGCCCCTGACCAGAAGTTAGAGGTAGCTTAGATACTGCTTACAGTAGAGGGCAAGGGAACAGGCCTGCTCTTCTCAGAGACCAGCCCTCTGAGAGGGGAGGCACATGGAAGCTAAGAGCCATACAGGATTTGACCGATACTCACAAATGGATTTATCACATGGAGTTTTTGAGAATTTCTATTACGCAAGGTATAGTAGAATGAGTGATGGAGTTCGTCTGACTGGTGTCAACTGGTTTAACGTCTTTATCAGCCTCAGCCTAATGCTACCAAAGTACGAAAACATATCTGTACCATTTTTATAATGAACCCCCCAAAGCTATTTGATATGTCAAAGGACCCTCCTCTCTACTAAGAAGTGGCCGCACCAGTTTCAAGGGAGGATTATTCATCAGCTCTGCTGAAGACAAAGCCTTGAACATTCGCCAGGTCATCCCAGTATTCATGCAGCTTCCTCAAAAAAAAAAAAAAAATTAAATCCACGTAGTTTTTAAACCCGAGTTTGAGCTGTTTTTCTCTGTGCAACATCTTTTAGCCAGTCGGAAGAGTGTATATGTTCTTTGGAATTAAGTGTATCTCACTTATGCAAACATTGTATCACCCACCCTGGGAACAAGACATCCTCCTCCTGAACACCTTTGTGTCCAGGAGTAGCATTCAGGAGTAGCATTCAGGAGTAGCTTCCATACAAGTGATTGGCAGGGCACCCTGGGTTAAAGGAATGATTTCTTAGGCCTGGCAAAGACACAGCAGTTTCCTAGAGTCCTTGCCCCAGCATGTGTGCTAGTGCCAGAGGACTGTGGCAGTGAGGCACAGGTACCTGCCTAGTGAATGGTTACAGATCAGTCATTTGCAATCACCTTGATGTCATTGGCAGTTGAGGGAAACTGCTAGTGGAAGGAAGTTGAGGAGCATACCTCATCAACAAGCGTATCTGCATGAGCAGTGTCTGTATACCTAAACGTGAAATGTTCCTCACACCTTTATAATAAAAATAAAATAAATAAAATTAAATTTAAAAAAACCCTTGTCATAAATAGAAACGAGCACTTGGGTGATATTTAAGAGAGGCAAAAGCAAGACTTTTAGATGTCAGATAGACATCTTTTCTGATTTCCATCAGGTGGCACTTGAAATGATAATCAAAGCTGATGATGTTTGAGACAAAGTATCGCTTTGGATAAGACTCATTAGCACATGGGATCTAACTAAATACTAGATGGGAGTGCACAAAAAGAACTTTTAGCGATCCAGCTGGTGACTCTTTAGGGTAATTGAACAGACGAAAAAAGCTGATGAAAGAACTAGGGCTTGGAAGGCGTCTTAAAGAATGGGTACAGTTTGAACAGGGAAAAGAGAGAATAGTTTGGTTCATGGCGTTTACAGATTTATTCGAAATAAATGACAAAGTACAAAAATAACGGCTTGGTATTTGACAAGAGCCATAAATATGTTAAGGGACAGTATAAGCATTTGTGTAGAGTTGAGAGTATGGTGCAGTTCTGCCATTTTGGACAGGAAGAAATGGAGGCCCACAGATGTTCAGAGGTGTGCCCCCCCACCCCCCCGTGCACACTGGCTAGCATATACCAGAATTGACTCTGCCTAGGAGCCATGCCCTGGACTCCAGCCTGTTCCATCTGCCATCCCCTCCTTACCTGCGTTTTCAGAACCTTCTTGAGCACTGGGGCTGCTTTTAGTCTGACCAGAAACTCCTCTGAAGTTAGTTTCCAGCAAGTAATAAACTAAACATATGTGCAATTAGCTCCTATGGGTCACATACATAAAGAGCCACAAGGCCATGTTTATGGCTGTCAGGCCGAGGCTCCGAACCCTCCACGGGACGTGCGGTGGAAAGAACAGTGGGCTTCTGAGTCAGATCGATCTGGTTGGAAGCTCAGCTCTCATCAAGCAACTCAGCTTGCCCAAACTGTTTTCCAGACTGTAGAATGGGGATAATGCCTCTCTTCTGGGGATGGTGTGGGGATCTCTGAGCTGATAATTTCTCTACTATTTATTGCATCAACTCTAGCTCTTGAGGCCCGTCTCATTCAGCAAGGCCTGACTCCTTCCGCCTCCCATTCCTACCTAGTTGTCTGCATGCTCTCAGGCCATTCTCCCTTCTGGCCCCACATTCCCAGCCAGCAGAGCTCAGGCCTCTGGAGGCCTGTTGGGGCTTCAGTGCAGATTGGAAAGAGATACTCTCTGGGAAGCTGCCACCCGGGTGGGTGCTTTGCTTGGAGGAAAGAAGCTGCCTTTGTGTGACGCTCTTTCCCTGTACGTGACTCGGTAAGTGGAACAGCCTAGATTTTAGTGCCGCTTCCCATACCCTTGCCTAGGTGCCTTTGCACAGTGCACAAAAGGCACACCCATACGTGGCTACCCCACAGAGTGTCTTCCACTTCATCTGCAGCCGAGGAGGTGCTCCCCCTGTTTCCTGTACCGGTTAAGTCGACCCATTTCTGCCTTTAAGTCTCTTGTCCTCCCATAGTTGACTGACCTGTAGCTTTTCCTAGTAGTTTAACCTACTCAAGTACATTTCTGAAGGGCAAGGACACAGGCCTTTTCTCCTTCTCCGTTCTTCTTCACGGATAACTGGGCACAGCCTAATCATCATCCAAGTACTTGTTTTATTCTTCGATAAATTTCCCGACTTTCAAAGAACATGCAGACATCATCTCATTTAATGCATCCAGCAAGCTTGTGAGGAATCATTCTCTTCATTTTTGGAGGGATGCTAAGACCTGAAAGATTAAGCCCACAGAGTAACTTCTTAGAACTCTGTTGATAAGTTTACTGTTCCCTTTGTTACTAAATCTTAAAAATATTTAAAGCCAAACAGCAGGTTTCTTTGAATCTCTGTTCATGTTTACCCTATTAATTCTTTAGGCAGCTAAAGGAAATTTCTATAGGGCAACCAAGGTAAAAACAGGTCCATCGAACACACTGTGCCTCTGAATGAAAACCATTATAAGTGTATTTACATACTTCGGATTTCATGGATATATTCAGCAATATTAATGTAGCATAATTGAAGTCTAATATTGCACCCTCAAGCCCAGAGTGGAAAATAAATGATTCTTTCTCCTCCCTGTCCTTCTACACCTGTCAAAGTTAATTTTTAACCACTGGCACATTGCAAAACATTCATCCTGAAGAGCCTGATTCATAAATCTTGTTTTAAATTCTCTGGGCTTGGTCTTCAACCAAGACGAAAGCAAGCATTGAGGTAAAGGGAAATGACTTTCAAAGAGTTTAACTTTTCTCTGATTTAATTTTTATTGGGTTTAAAATGTGGTCTGACATTAGAGGGTTGTTTCAAAGGTAAGAAATGAAACTGGACAAAATGCATGTGTTTAAGATGAGTAGCATTTCAACAGAGGCAAGCCACGCTACGTTTTTATCAAAAAAGAGCAAGTTTTATGCCTGTTCTAAGAGAAACGTGGGTATTTTGATGTGCATGTGCTGGAGGGGAAGAGTCAGTTTTACTTTTGTTTTCACAGTGTGCCTTCTCTTCGTCTCATGGAACGGGACGTGAGGGCGAGATGCAGGGAAGAGTTTTTTATTCCATTGAGCAATGAGCATGCCTTTTCAGAAACCTTGCAGAATGTGTCAGGTGTTATGTATATGTAAACCTGGGTTTCCTTACACACTTAAGTGGACCTTGTCCTGAGCACACGATCATTCAGAGCACTGCATGTGGAATGAAGATTCTGAATCATCCTGAAAGATCCTTCTGTCCTAAGTTGTCTTAAGTTAAAATTATGAAGGGAGGTGTTCATTTTACCCTTGAAAGAAGATCTTGACTCATACATTTTTTTTTTCTCACTGCCCTTTTAAAAAATGTTTTTTGTTCATACATGATGGCCCACAAAAACGTTTAAGTCTTTCAGGTTGAAAGCTGCTTCTGGGACATTCACTGCTTGATGATGATTTGCACTGTGAGATATAGTGTTCAGTGTATAACTTGCAAGCGCATTTTAATGACTGAGACGTTTTCTTGACTGGATGGCATCTGCTGAGAAGTTAAATAATGGCCTGTATTTGCATCCGAAATGAGTTTTGCAAAACGTTGAGGGAAGGGAAGGTGATACAGTTTAAAGAATCCAGGAGGTACAGTTAGTTTTCGGTTACGTGTGTAAGTTTTCCAATGAGTCTCTGGGTGTTTGAGATCCCAGAGAAATGCTGATGTTAAAATACAGGTTTTCCTAAAAGAGCTTAACAACCACGTGGAAAATATTTTCTAAGTTATCGTGACATCTTTGGTTTGATTTGTTATTGGTTAGTGAGTCATATAGGTTAAGTGACAGTTGTGTAACTACGTATCAGTTTGTGTAAAATTTGGACATAGTGTAAGACGAACGGAATACAGTTTTCTCCCAAAGCAGGAGTTACTGATTCAGTTCCACCAGCAGAGGGCCCCCTTTCTAAGCTAATAAAGGGCATGTGTCTTGCAGACTACTTTGCAAATGCTGAAATTCAGTGGGAAAAGATTGAGCTCACACTTCCAGTAACATAATAAAACTTCTATATGGTAGATGATTGTACATATTGTGAGAAATTTGTTTAAAGCAAAGTTTTAAAAATCTATTTCAAGGCTTTCTTTCTCTAAGTAGAGGGCGTACTGCTTTCCAGTGGCTATTTTTCTCCTGAGGCAGAAAATATACTGTTGGACTTACAGAGTATTTTAATCTTAGAAGGCTTTGACATGAAACATCATGTGAATCCAGACAGGTATGCCTAGGAGATTGATGTTCCCAATGTTTCTAGCATTTGAAAGGCTATTTTTAAAAGCAGGCCAAGATTATACAGCTCAGGATGCAAGGGTATTCTCTGAACTAACCATATGTCCCTCTGATCAGATGGCAGATTCCATTATAGGCTGGTTTTTTTTTTCCCCCATTGGGAAAGTTTTTCAATAATTCTCTCAGTTGCACCAAAGAAAAGTTTGTAAAGTCACTTCCGTCTTGGGTTTAGCAGCGCTGGCCTGATATTTCAAGTAATCCTGAAGCTGGGTCCTGCCTGTATGGGCTCAATGTGACTACTGGATCACCTTCCCATGCAGAATGAGAAGGTATTACTGACAGAACCCATATTTCATCAAAGGGAATGAAAAGGTAGTTTCAAAAAAAATTTTTTTAAGTAAGCTAAAAATAGAAAAGGCTAGAATTTTGTATAGGTAGGTGTGAAATTTTTTTGCATGTGGCTTAAAAAATTAACTTCAGTTTCACATGTCAGTTTTTACTTTCTGTGGTGGAAGGAATCGAGGGCCAGGGACAGTGGATCGGGCAGGGAGTTTGGAACCTGATGTCAGAAGGCTGAGTTCTGGTCTTAGTTTTATCATCTCATGCAGACCAGTCAGCTCCTTGGCTCAGTCCGGGTGGTGGTCTTTCTCCCCCCCCCCAGCATGGAGGAATTGATGGAAGTGATCTCTGAATTACTTTCTGGTCTAAAGCCCGGCGGTTCTGTGACTGACGCGGTGTTCAAGGAGCTCTGGAGAGCTTTGAAGCCATCTGTGGTGATGCCATGTCACTGAAACGTCCTTGGGGTTGCTGGCTACTACGTACACGATCAGCGTCTTGCCCAAGTGTGGCCCACCGCCACGCTCGATAGAGGACAGGAATCCGCCGGGAGGGGACGCCCC